GATGGTACCTACTGTATCCTTGCAAGAAATCAGCATATTCACAAAAAAAAACACCTTAGAATCGCATTTCAACATAAAATTCTGCTTCAAGAGATTCTCATACTCTTATTTATGAAAAATATATAAAGATTAAGAAAAACCACTCCAAGGTACTTCTGTGCGTAATAATTAATCAATCAGAGGTATTTGATGGGGTTTTTTTGTTTCTTTTAACACAATGTAAGCGTTTCAGATTGATCTGTACTTCCCAATTATGTCAACGCTTCAGTTTATCTTCTATATGGGATGGATGAAGGTGACCTATTAGCTCTTGCTCTTTGATGACATTGTCTTTGTGTCATGTAGAATCATATTCGAGAAGATGCTTCAATAAGAAATGGTGTTCCAGGTTGCTGAAGCGATGTTGAATCCATTTGGAGAAGACGATGACGATTTCGAATGCAATGCACTGATTGATAGAAACATCACTGTGAGTAGTTACAGTTATTATATTTTCTCGAGAGTAACTTGAACCAATAGTCAATGTAATAAATGTTCACACTATAGGCATGATATAGCCCATTTTGTTTAGATGGTACTCATGATGGTTGACCAAGGCTACGATCGACCCCCAGCTCTACAACGAGATCCATTCTGGGATGAAGAAGTAGAACCTCTTTACTCAGAAGAATCAGCAAAGATTCCCACTCATCCTCTCAAAGGTTCAGTTAGTGAAGTGAGGTAGGTATTTTACTCGAGTTTGGTCAAAATGGCAAAATCGAGCCGTAAAGACCACCTACAAAAGAAATGCGTAACCTCCAGTTCCATACACTATTGATATCTGTCGTTTAACCAATTTACCATAAAAGAGACAGTACGATATGGATATCCTATATGTAATCAGCAATTCACATAATCTTACAAGGCCTTTATAAGAGGTCCGTGACTTTACTTCCATACCGTATACCGTATACAAAGTTAGGGCCATATTTGGAGGTTTGCGTTCTAGAACAAAGACGAATGGTAGCCGCTCTAAGCATACTTTCTTCGGCACTATAAAACAATTTTGATCCAGTACAAAATTTCCGTCCTCGTTGAAACTTTGCTCGAAAAATCACCTGCCATGCTGGTCAGGAATATTATATCGGTTCTGTCTTGTAAGAGCTTAGTATTAATTTAGGGCATATTTGCTATGGGAGAATTATACTATTTGTATTGAAATGATCTATTGGTTATTTGAAATGCTTAACAGGAATAACGCACTTAAAGATGACTGACAGATAAGCTGCTAAAAGGCAATAATTCTCTTCTCTATGGCTTAAGGACAGAAAGGAACTTGAGGTAGCTTACGATGAATTCGCTTGCGGGGAGTGCTTTTACCAACTGCATTTCTACGGTGTGGCGCTATGGTGATAAATGGAAACTGTTTTGTGATCTGCGCTCCAGGTAACCCACATAGGTACGAATTGGACAGATGCATGTCTTCCTAGCTTTTCCCCACTATATCTACAGCGAGGTTTCCC